GGTATACATACATGTATTACCATAAGGAAAAGAAAGGATTTTAGGAAAGGAAGGTCTGGAATGATATGGAAGAGAACATAACTGATTTTGTGTGTGCAAGGGACAAGAATCTTCCTGGCCATTAGAGTCTATTCCGCGTCACCGAGTGGGATTTTTCTCCATGTTTCTAATATGTTTGAATTATTTAGAAGAAAAGAATACCCTAGTAACAAAAGTTCTAAATTTTTCAAAAATTTGAAAATGAAAATTTGAATATATTTGAATTCATTTATATATTTCTGAAACATTTTGAAAGTGACTGTACAAAGATCTCTTTATTTAGAATAAATTTGAACTACCCATTTGTTTCTTTCACTATTCGAAATATTTAGAAATATTTCAAACAAATGAAAAATGGTAGATGTGGGTAATTGCCCTCATAAAAGTAGGTGCTAATCCTACTCTTCTGTATTCTTCTGTATATTTTTAGGTTTCACTGCTGGACACTGGTGGCTCTTTTGTTGTAAGGCATCAATGCCTGACACCCAGGCAGTCTACCCTGTACTTCACAGGGATGTGTGAATTACTTCCCTCCCATCCCACTGACCTATTTACAAAATGTTAGAAATAATTCGAAATAATGGTAAAAAAATGGTAGAGTGCTGTTAGAAATATTTAGAAACTATTGGAAATGTCATATTCCACATCAGGAATATTTCAAACGTTTTAGAAAACCAGGGAATTGTTTAGAATATTGACAAGATGTTCAAAATATTTCCAAATTATGAAATTTCTTACACAAACAATTACAAAGAATTCAAAACATTTCTAAATAATGACAATAACAACCCACACGGTGACGCGGAATGGACTCTACTACAACATCTGTTGAATTATTTCGAGCAACATAGCCAAGTCAATAGCTGTATCTCCTTTCTATTGGCAGGCAGTATATCGTTACCACTGTATCGTTACAAACCACATGCTCCATGTTAAAAAGAACACACAAAAAATCATTCTCTATCAAATTTCTAAGTCAATAAATGTTGAGCATAAAATGCCTCTACGCCTCAAAAATAAAACTCACAGAAACACAAAATACCTTCCTGCGCTATGCAACCTGGGAGATTTTAGCCCTATGCGCAATGCGTCATGGGAATGGGAAACTGGTGAATTGGACGAGCAATGTCCTGGGAGTGCAAAGCTGTCGTATTAGGATGGAAGTTACGGGGAGAAAAATTTTCATCTCATCAGTGTTCTTCTGGGACTTTGTGAGATCTGAAAACTGGTATCATCCAGTTTGGTGGTCTTAGCCACTGTCTAAATTGTTAGGTCACGACAACCAGTCAACCCCTTCAAGGCTCGAATTATGGCCTTCCGAAGTCAAAAACTGAATTGGCCATGGCTCCTGCAGTTCAAAGCCGCTAGGTGGCTATCATACTAAAACCTCTCAACCAGTTCTTCACGAGGCTCTGGCTGGACTAGTAGAATAATCAGAACACGAGATATCAAAATGTAACTCGAAAATGTAAGTCCAATTTCTTCTGTCATGCATGCTCCCCCATGCTCATGAAGCCCTCACCCTTGGTGGTCAGGTGCTCAGCGTCGTCACACAAACAAAACTACGTACTTGGCCTTCACATTCGTTCGGACTTACGGTGGAATGACCAGCGGTCGAGGCCATGGTATGCAAGGGCAGCAAACGGCTCTATCTCCTTGGCAGACTAAGTAGACGGTCTGGAGTCCCTCAATCGGACCTCACCACTGTGTGTTGCGGGTACATAAGACCTATACTAGATTATGCTGCACCAACTGGAGAAACATGATCAGATGACATTGAAAGAATACAAAAAGGCGCTTGCAACAATACCTCTCATACCCCGATGCCCTTGAGCACCTTGAACTTCAACGAAGACAGAACTTGTGCATGGACTTCGCCCTCAAAGTGAGCAAATCATCGCGCTTCACCTCCTGGCTACCCCCAGCACGGAAACACGATAGACAACTCAGACATACCCGTTGTTACCAACTGCCTATAGGATAGGGCTCATTCAACACAGATTTGTCACGTGACTTTTCCCCCAGGCAACGTGCATTGTCCGCCATGTTGTGGTCCATCATGGTGTAGCCTGGTTACCAAACCTATTATAGCTCCCGAGTCCTACATCCTCTCCGCGGAGAGGATGTAGGACTCGGGAGCTATGATAGGTTTGGTAACCAGGCTACATGGTGCCTATCGCTGCGGTACGCTATCACGCGGCAAACTCTTGGCGATAGTTGCGTACTTTTGGCTAGAATCTACGTTTTTGACACTCGGCTGCCAATAAACCTACACTGTAGGGCTGGGCAGTAACGGAGAAGACACTCTTCTTGTAGCATTGTCCACGTCTCATATAAAATATAAGGAAATGATGAAAAGGCATTGTAAGTAAATTGCAACTAGCTAGGTACTCCAACCAAACTTTCAAACTGGTAGGATAAGAAAAAAGTTACACAAATCGTTTGGTTTCTTTTATAAATGATTGAACACATTGTAAAAGTTTTGTGTTATTTGTATGCAATAAAAATGAAGAAACGGAAGAAGATGAACTAAGACATCATCAGAAAGATCAATGAGGTTAGTGACAAATTCTACCAGTTTTTCTAGTAGGAGCATATTTCGTATATACAATAATAGCTTTATGCGACATCAGAACAGTATCCTGAGGCCCTAAATCCTTTCATACCTGGGTTTCATGTCGTATTAACCTTAGAATTTATCTAAATGACCTTAAATGATCACCCTGTCAATAACAGAATTTTTTACATTATTGACAGGATTTTTCTTGTCCATAGTGAGGAATGTTGTACTATTGACAGGACCATCCTGTTACTAAAAGAAGAAAATGCACTATTGACAGTTCAATTTTCTCTGTCAATAGTGCAAAATTTGTCTGTTATTGACAGGATCGTCCTGTCAATAGTGCAAATTTTCTGTTATATTGACAGGATGGTCCTGTCAATAGACACTTCCATGGCAGCATTTTTACGACACCAACATCCGTTTTCCGACATTTTTGCCTGAGGCTGTGACGTGACAACTGATGCCGTATAGTCGAAAAATATTCTGTTGGATGATCCTGTCAATGGTCATTTTTCCTTTAATGAAGTCCGTGTGACTTCCTTCGACATACATGTACTACGACACTACAAAATGTATTATAAACGTTAGCTCTGTGCAAGCTATTTTTACGAATCCACCTAATTCTCTAATCTAACATTTGCTTCTATGGTCGCCACGTTCCGGTTTGATTTCATCCCTCCTGAACCTGTTTTCTGACATATCTACATTGTAGACTTGTCTGACTTTCACGGTGCATTTCGTAATCTTGACCAGCTGCGACGATATTGAATGGCCTTGTAGATTTGTCCCCTTTGCTGTGCCTTTGCCCCATAACCTTTGCACTGGGTTACACTTTCGCCTTCGGTGCGTGACGCCAAATTTATGTCCCGTCACATCCCTTCCTAGTGCGCGTGCCTCGAATTAATTTAGGGATAGGGATAGGGTTAGGGAAGGGTTAGTATTTGGGTTAGGGTGAGAGTTGGGGTATATATTATATTCTATTCGGGCTAGGGGAAGACATAGGATTTGGGTTAGGGTTAGGTTAACAGTTAGTCTCCACATCACGACCACCCCTCCCACTTCTGTGTGTCTTGAGTATATTGGAAACCCCCAAGTAGTGTCGGGGGCATAACCTAGCATACAATTGGCAATCCCCCACAAGCTGAAGGAACCATGGCAGACCGAGCATCAGCAGCCTTGACCATTGCATAGGGGTCCATTTGTAGGCTAGGAGAGGTACCAAAACGTCGACAGTTGACAGGGTAAGGCGGTATTACAAGTTTACAAGTTTATTTATTTAACCAGGATATAACTCAGATCTACCGATCTGCTTTTCAGTTATTCCTGGGAACTCAAGCCAAGGTACATTTAAAAATACAGTATATCACAGAGAAAAAAAAAATCACAATGACGTTACATTACATCACAATCAATTACATATAAATCACAGTGTGCACTGCTACAGTTACAGTCGCATTCAGTAAACCGGTCCCTTCACAGTCTGGTTTTGAACACAGACGTTGATGTTATTTGCCGTTTGTCAACAGCTAGTCTGTTCCACACTAGTGGCCCTTGATATTGCAAACTCCCTTTGAATGTTTCCAGGTTTGCCTTTGGAGTGTCCAGCATGTAAGGGTCGAAACCGAGGAGCTGTTTCATGGCAGTGCGTGTGCGAACTCTGAACACTGGGGGTGATAGCCATTTAAACATATTTGTCATGTAGGCAGGAGCTTTGTGGCGAACTGCCTTCTGTACAGCTACTAGCGTACTCACTTTTACCCTATCAGCCAGTGGTACCAAACCAGCCTCAGCTAGCAGGGTTTCTTTAGGAACACGATCTTTGAGTGTTCGCCCTGTGATAATCCTGGCTATTGTTGGGATACTACGGTGCAAGCTTGTATCACAAGCACTATCCTTCAGATGTCAGATTCATGTGGTCAGTGTTGTTAGCCTAGTACTAGTATTACATAACCATTCTCCACAGGCTGGCTTATGGGTGTATTATAGGGCTGCGGACCGGTACATTGTACCGGTCCAATACCGTAAAAATCGTTTCGGTACAGGTCCAAAATACCGGATCATGAAGTAACGAGTATATACCGAAATAGCTAGTTTACACCATGTATATGACTAAAGATAGGTAAATCCTACCACAAAGACGAAAAATTAGCACTGGAAAAGACGTAAACACCGTCGATTGATTTGAGATCCTCAGTCTCACGAGACATCGCTAGAGTGTGGCTGATCCAGGGTTGTGATAAAGATACTGACAAGTTGTCAACACTTTATTATTGTTTCTGTGTCATGATTGAAAAAGTGAAGAACACGTGTTAATTTGTCAAATTGTTCAGGTACAGGTACAGGTCCGGACCTGTACCTAAACCTCTGTACCGGTACCTGTACCTGTACCTGATGTTACGTTTAGGTACGCAGCCCTAGTGTATTACCTGTCCCGTGAGCATAGGGCATTGCTTTCTGACAGCCTATATGGCCTGTATTTTTTCAGCCAAGGGAAGTAATTGAAACCAAACCCGTAAAAACACTTTTACATTGCACGCGCTGCGGGCAGGCAACACGTCCAGCACCGTAGAGATACCGGCAGGCCTACGATGGTCTGGCTATCAGGCATTTATCGTCGGTGATCAAAATAGGAGCTAGCACAGCTTGAATGTTTTACTACCCTCTCTGTAAACAGTCCGCAATTTGATCTTCCAAGTTGACACGGGTGATTGTCACCCGCTTTGGATTTGACCTTAGCATTGTTGTAGAGGTTAACGTTTCAGCGGTCATAGGTGCATGTACGATTTAGGACCTAAGCCTTACTTGTATTCTTCCGCCATGCGATGTTTTCGTTTGCACCACATCAACCTATGATGCGTTCTGTGTGCGCTGTTACTATGCCTCGCGCCGCAGGTTATTGTGGCACTCTCAGTCACTGTGTTAATATTCCCTTTATGATTTTATTGATTATACAGAAGGGTTTTCTCTTTCTGATAGGTGATGGCCTGATGGGTTAATTTCGCGTGCAAATGCCCATTTTTCGTATCATTTTCAAGACTGAAAAATCCATTTTCCCCATAAAATTGACTAAAATCCTGTTGTTCTTGTAGCTAGAATGATATCATTTATTCACAGACACATTTTTGTAGTTGCAGAATTATTTCCTGAAAGAGACGAAAGAGACGGTCGTAAGACTTGAAGGTGTGCAGAATCGAATTGAGACCCAAAATAAACTGGGGTGTGCAGCCCCTTTTTAAGGGCATGTCATTGAATCAACGTGAACAACCAACTGAATCAACTGTTTCTTATTTCTTTCCAGCCAATGTTAAAAAAACGAATGGCAACATGGAATTAACCCAAGAACACGACCTTCTTCAGAGGCTAGCGGACCTGAAAGTGAAGAGTTCTGTTTTAGAGGTCCAGGAGGTGGACCGGGAGGCCATGACTAAAAAGACCGTACAGCTGATCAACGCGCAGGACGACAACATAACAAGGTTGACCTGTGACCCGATCAAGATACTGGACCAAGCAGGCTTTGAAGCGGATGAAATCAGCGAGAGCCCAGTTGACTTTGGTGAGAAAAATGACAGTTTTTCTTCAGTCACAACATACAGGTGTAACGTAAAAATTAAGGTATCATTTGCTGCATATACATGTAGAGAGGAATCTTATTATCCAGCCGTTCAAAGTACATCTGTATCGGTATACCCGGTATACCCGCCCTTCGGCGTAACACACCAGCTTCGATGGTGTGTTACGCCGACACACCATCGAAGCGAAAAATTATTTAATATACGACACCATACGACATGAAAAGGTAACGGTTGGCAATACTGAACTTGAGTTGATAGATTGAACATTAGATGGAGTCTTTATGGAAGGGAAGGCATTTAGGTCATGCACTACCACAAATATCTATTAGCTAATATCAGTTTGATTGTCGATAACTTCATGTATGTACAGACTCTGTCATGCAAGAGCTCAACGACCGTTTGGTAAGAGCCGGAGTCATCCCGGGCCATCCGCTGTTCCTAGGTTTTATTCCGTCTGGCCAAGGAACATATCCCTCAGCCCTGGGCGGTTTCCTTCCTGCAGCCTTCAATACGTATTCAGGTGTGTACAGAACCTCATACACCGGAGACGCTGCGTGTTTCCGTCTCGCAAACAGTCGTTGCCATTTGAAACGGTCGATACCATATTGCTGAACGGTCGATGCCATTTCCGAGCGTATCACATCTTCTTTGTCAGAAGCAAAGCATTTGAAAAAGGAACATTTCAATTGCAAATGCAGAACTGTGGTTTGTGTATATGTCGTCCCAGACAGACAGCACGTGGGTGGGGAAGATTGACAGGCAGAACGACAGGGGGTCAAAAGGTCAAACACGGGAAATGGGGTGAACTTTAAGATCACGAAACTGGATACTTCCCCAAAGTCTTAAATATCCGATTTCTAGTTCATTCAGGAGATTGCATGGCAAGTTGAAAATGACCTTCCCTTCAAAGTCTTGATTACCCAATGGACTACATCAGTAGAAAATCGTTTTCTTACAGTTAGATTGGGGTGGAGATAAAGTATGATTTTGTTTTGTATGAACACCACAGTGATTCATTTGGAGAGCCCAGCAGCTGTCCAAATGGAAAACAGGCTGATCCAATGGGTGGCAGACCTGTTCGGCTACCCCGCAGGGCATGCCGGGAACATTTCATCGGGAGGTTCTCTCGCCACTCTCACGGCGTTAGCCGTCTCACGGGACAGCAGGCGACTCAAAGCCGCACACTTTCACAGGTAAATACATGTGGTTTCGCTCAAATTTTATGAGCTTAAGATATTGCTTCCCATCATTTCATAGTACTTAGGTGACCAAGACGAGATCGAAATGTCCATGTCCTCTATCCACAGATGTGTGATCTATTGTAGTGAGTTTACCCATTATGCTGTGCAGAAGGGACTTGGAGCTGTTGGAATGCGGGAGGCCGTTCTGAGGAAAACTCCAGTGGACACGTCCTTCAAGATGACAGCAGCGGCTCTTGAGAAGCAGATCAAGGAAGACAAGGAAGTGAGAGAATTCCGTCAAGACTTTCTTCTATTCATTCAAGATCGCTGTAATATCAATAATTTTACTGTGTGTTATTCGAGCTACTATAATCATTACAAAATGTTGTACTGAAGTCATCACACGTTTGTGAAGGTTTGCTGACTTTTAACTGATTTGTAACTTACTTCTACAAATCACCAACCAGGCCGGTTTGTTGCCGTTCCTGGTCGTGGCCACTGTGGGCACCACGCTGACCGGAAGTGTGGATCCTGTGGACGACATCGCTGACGTGTGTGAACGTCACCAGCTCTGGCTGCACGTGGACGCCGCGTACGGAGGGTTCTTCGCTCTGTGTGACGACATGAAACAGCTGTTTGTTGGTGTGGAGCGGAGCGATTCAATTGTGGTGAATCCACACAAAGGTTTCTACAGACAAACGTGTTGTATTGTCATGCTCTAACTCAGTGGAAATGGCTTATTACTTATATATTTCATGCTAGCAACGCTTACCACTTAGCATGAAGTTAGAAGTCATTCTAACTTCATTCACTTAGCGACTTGACTGCAATGTGAGCATGCAGCATTGCAGACCTTGTAGGACTCGAGCTCTGGCTGCGTTTATTTTGAGGAAACGGCCACGATTCTCAATGCCGCACGCCTAGAAGGTCTGTTTCCTTTCCGATTTCCAATTTCAATAGGGCGTTGTCGGCTCGGAGAAAAAGGCAGACCGTCTACGGTCTACTGGGAGTGCGGCGTGGAGCGCTCCCTCCCCCTAAAAATGCAGACGCCGGACGCATCCGGTAGAGGCTATGCCTCCACTAACTTTCCCGTGATATTTTCAGGGCTGTTCATATCAAGTGGTGTAGGAGTTCTTGTGGTGAAAGATGGAGGGAAGCTCCAACAGACCTGCTCCTTACAACAAACACCCAGTGTGTTTGAAGGAATGCAGTTCTTTTCAGCTGAACACCTGTCTCCGTGTGAGCTGTCCTTTGAACTGACCAGGTCTTTCAGGTGAGTGGTTTTTCGGAGGTATGGTTTTGGGTGAGTTTGTCGGTTTGTTTGTGTATTCAGCAAAGACGGTTGTAGGGAGTGGATATTTGACGGGAGGGGATATCTGGTCACTTGATTGACAGGGGTGTTAGTAGTAAGTTGTAGGTGGTATGTGGAGGAATTCAGGAAGTGGTTGACCGTGTGTAATGGCCGATTAAACTGCATGCGTCATAAAACCCTCTCCACAGTTCCAGATTTACAATTTAATCAGACTAAAAATCATAGCAACAGAAGCACAGGTATGTAGAATTGTACATGTCGTTTCATATATGTTTCCATTCGTCGCTTGAAGTCTTTAACCCAAACCTCGGAGGACGTGTCTATTTTGTTATGCTGTTCCTTGTAGAGGTGCTCAGATGTGGCTTCCACTGAAAGTGTTCGGTGTTGGAGTTTTCCGTGCGGCCCTGGAGGAGAAACTCCTTCTGGCACGTTACTTCTACAGGAAGCTGAAAGGTACAAACTTTCTTTGCCTCAATGTGTGGATATTGCGTCCATCTTATCTGTTTACTAATTCCAGGCACTTTTGGGGAATCGACATTTACTCGTCCTTTCGCTGAGTTTATTCAGAGGTAGCTAAAACTAAACGAGTCTTTCTTTCTCAATGGACAGAAACAGGTGAATTCGAGCTACCCTTGGAGCCGGAGCTGTCCGTGGTGCTGTTTCGTGCTACAGCGCCACCTGGCGTCGACATCAATAACTTCAACCAACAGCTCCTGAACGACCTGAATTCTGATGGGAAAGTCTTCATGACTCCTGCCGTACTCGGCGATCAGTACTACCTGCGCGTCTGTATCCTGTGTTTCAGGACCCACATGGAGCATATGGATCTATGCTTCTCATTGATCAGAGAAAAACGTGGCCATCTTTGGGGGTCCTTCCAAAGCAATGCTTAGGGCGAACCTGCTCCATAATGGTAGTGAAAGACTGCCAAGTAATGGCTTTTATTCTAACTTGACTAATAACTCTATAATTCTTAACTAATCAACTAATTAAATAATTAATAATTTTTAACTATTTCTAACTTTCTAAATTGCCACTATTTGAACTCGAAATAAACTTTGAGATGAAAGAAATGTCTTCTTAAGGTTGAATGATAAGTAAAAGAACAATGTTTTTTATTTCAAATTAACAAAATCATGGCCTATTTGCCTCGGGGTATAGTGATTGTCTGTTACGTTAAAATGATTAATACAACTTTTTTTACTTAATTGATAATCAAGAAAAATGCAAACCCTAGTGATTCATTATCAGGCCGTTGCAAGATGGCGAGTGTGTTTGGATATCTCTAGTTAGCTCCTGCGCGTGTCGGGTCACGGGTAGCGTAAGATCTTTTGGTGGCTTCCCAATGGATATAGCCTGCTTACAAGTTGCAACGGTGATCTGTGTTCTTGCTACATTCAGTTTAGATGAAGGTAAATTTTCCTAAACACTTGGGCCTTTGGATTTTTTAAGATACTTCTTTTTTTTTAACCAACAGTTTGAGTGAAACGCCTATTGAAGAGCTTGAATTGGCAACTGTCACTCGGCAGGGTACCCATTCTGAATCGCTACAGCAAAATATTAAGAAGATCCTCACACAAAAGAATGGATTACAGTGCCTTAACAAAGAAAAGAATAGCTATCAACCTGACATCTTTTAAGCAAAGTCATCTGACATATTTTTCAGATTAAACTGCATTCCATGGTTGTTTTAAAAACCTGAATCGTTACTTTGGTTGTGAAAAATAACGGTCAAACTTAACCACGCAGGAAAAGCAGCTGCTTATTTATTTTCCAGCTTTAATAGAGCTTTTCTGCGGAGGCAGTTTATTTTGATAAGAGCTTTCCTCCCGAAAGAAACGTCCCCGAATAGCCCCCTTAGCAAAGAACACCAAGTCACTTCAATAACAACACTTGATACGGCCAAATGCCGCACACCTGCCGGTAGTTTACCTTAGCAACAGGTAGTTGTGTAAACATCTTTGTATCACTCCGCCGGAGAATAATATATACTTGCCTTGCGCTCCTGTCACAATCGTTTTGACCTTTGTATCCATCCAAGATATTCATGTGAGACATTTAGTTCATATTTTGCCGCGAATGATTGAAGAAATATCACAAACACGACAATTTTCTGGGATAAAATAGTTCCCGCGGATGAGCTGTAACGGGTTGGTGACGCGGCCCAGCTGGCAACCATCCGCTCACCTGTCCAACATGGCCGCTGTCATTCATTAAGCGGAGAACGGTCCCACCAGTTTGCAAGCGTTTAACAGAGATCCACTGCAGTTTACTGATATTTTCCAACGGCGGACAGACGGGACAGTGCGGCTTTGAAGATGACGACAGTAGAGTGGCCTGTACTGCCGCTGAACCGGACTCCTCCCGACTCCTACTTCCCCGCTATCCCCCCGACCGACCCCACCAGCCGCCAGGTCCTACCCACAGTAAGTAAACTGTTATCTATAACAGTACACGTTTGTGTTTCTGAATATTGCAGTTTCAAGTCAGCAATGTGACGGAGCAATGTTTAGAACTTTAACTTGCAATTTTCTCTCCTTATCAATCATTATTGCAGAGTTCAGACACCAATTCACAGTTTCAACAGTTCCTTAACTTAAGCGTGTCCTGCTATTATAACGGTGCTAGAGTACGCAAGGGTCATTAAAGATAATCTTTGAGAGTTGTTGAGAAAGGACTTGGGGGACTTTTCATGGGTCGGATTTGCTGCATTGATCGCTGGTTGGGCCCGAAACAAGCGGTCGTTCGATATCTGTAGTGGCGCATTGTTCACGGCATTGTGACATACAGATAAAGGCCCAGCTCTCAATACCGACTCTAATACGTTGTTATGACCTGGTACTTCAACGTGGTCTTCACTGCGTTTTGCAAATATATCAGCGGAATTCAAAGAAGTATTGGGAAACCTGATTAGAATTTTGTTAAGGTAATATTGCAAAATTCAAACAAAAGGGCAATGAGAGGTAGTTTTGGCACAGAAGCACTTTCTTGTTGTTCTAGAACACTTGGATGAGAAATTCCATGGCTCTTCAGACTTTTGATGCTTTTTAGGCCACACCAGGGACTTTTTATGGATGACGTCCACATGCGCATTGATTTTGGCCTCCTCCTAGAAAAAAAAAGAAATTCTGCTTCATGTAACTATGACCAAAGAGTTGGAAAGTTGGAAGATGTGATGAAAGGAAAGAAACAGGGCAGGAGGACAACTGCTGTTCAACTGATTTATTGCTGTTTTTTGAAAGACTAAATGTTCGTTGTTACACCGTGTTCTCTCATTCAATTTGTGTCCTAACATTTGTCGTCCCTTAGTATTTTTCAAATCTAGGCATCTTGTTCCTTTCAGCCCTTACTTTTTTTCACGCTCTCACATCGGATGTCATCCATAAAAATTATTTGGTGTGGCCTCAAGTATTTATACTAGTGCTCCATGGTAACACAATGACTATATGGAGTCAATTTTGTCATCAAACAGAGTAGAACCACCTGACAGCAACAAAAGACAAACAAATCTCTACATTTCTTAGCAACCACGGGAAGTCGTGCACTAAGTTTCTCAACAACCGCGGAAGGGAATGAAGTAAAAATGTTGTTGAGAATTCATGGTGGTGCAATGTTTCTCTCAGATCATGCTGTTCCCTAGAGACAGGAAGTCTGAAGTGAGCTCAATTGTAATGTGTACACTGGGTTTCAAACCTAAGTGCCTAATATTGACCATTCACATTATCATATGGGATGTGCAATAACAATAAAAAACATGGGACGAGCACTAAAAGATGTCTTCTCATTCATAATCATTTCAGGTGAAATCAGACAATATTTTGCTATTCAACAGTAAAATGTCTTAATTATCTTTTGTGATTTTATTACTTCAATATTTCAATATAATACCAGTAACTTATTTATTGTCCATACCTCCAGAAATGTTTTCGGTACAGGTACAATCACCAGGTGTTTTCATACGTGATTAATTTTCATGGGGTTACCAAGGAAACACTGACAACAAGAATGACCCTTTTGTAGTGATTTCAACTTTGACTCTTTAAAAGAAAAACACTTTGATGTACTGAACTCTGTTGGTTTTCCTTATCTTTGTGAGTTTCTATCTCTATTTGACTTTATTGTGTGACCAGCAAACATGGCTGGCATTGGCTGCTGTTTCCTCCTGCTGCTAGGCCTAAGTGCAATCGTTGTCATCTTCAGAACCCATAAATGTCCCCCCTTCCTTTTCTATGTGGAGACGTTTTGTCAGAAGTCACTCCGTCTCATGTCAAACTGTCTGATTATTTGCGTCCCTTCTGTTGTGAGTGCTGTTAAGTTAATCAGACATTAAATACAACCTTTAGTAGGCACGGAATTTGATCACCAAACAACACCAATTGAAACAGCAACAGCTCTTTTCAAGCCATGTCTATAACATGTGGACCTTCCCTGACTCATCGTAACATCTTTAACAATAGAACTGTAAATATACCTGTTAGCTGGAGCTTGCAAGGCTTTTCTAGCTAATGCTACTTCTGATGAAAGTACAAATCTTCCCATCCAACTTGTAAATGGCAAATTGATTAGCTATGTCCCACAGGATTAAATTATTTCTATTAGTAAGTTGGTAGCAGAAAAATTGCTGTGTAATTGTTTTAACATTTTACATTTCTGCTGCTTCTTAAGTTTTCAGTTAATATACATGACACAGAGATGCATTGGAAAATGCTTAATGTCTTCACAGCAAGAGCATTGAAGCTACATGTATAATAAAAACAAATCTAAATCATAGAATCAGGTAGGGGAAATAAGTAGTAGATAATTTAGGTACCAAATTGTATTAGGTACCAAAAGATCCCTACAGCTTCTTAATAGACTGTTTTGTTCATTCACAACAGACCTTTGTGGTACAGGGCAACTTCTGTGTTAAGATCATGTTCTACTCTGATGTTGTCTTTTTTTCTTTGTGCAGGGCAGTTAGAAATGCACCAATCACAGCGCTGATGGGGATCGTGGTGGATGGACGACAGCCTGAGAGGGTAAGCACCATTGGTTATACGGCATCCACAACGAACATAGACAATACCTGTGTAACAATAAAATGTCACGGGTAAGGCCTACAAAAAATGTTGCGCTCCCACTTTCCCAACCAATGCTAGTGATAACTTAATGACCCTAGCCTTTTTGAGGGGCAGTTATTAGTCATCTCATGAATTTCCAACCCTCTGAAATTATTATTTCACGCACTGACAGAAGCAAATTTTTAACGAGTAAATTGGATGAAATATTTTTGAACTGTCTAAAAAAGTATATAACATTATTGGATCCCTTCAGGCTATATAAACCTACTGACCCCAACATCTTTAGGACTTAGTTTGGGCACACAACTTTTTTCCCAGAAAGATTGAAGGACTGACTCCATGGTCTCTATTTGTTTTTATCTTCACAAATGGGAAAGGAAAGGAAAGTGGTTTAACTGTACTTAACGTCCCTGCCAACCAAAATCTCACAGCCGCTTTTGGAAGTATCACAAGAAGTTTGTTTTCAAAACAAAAACTTCAGGAGAAAGCCAAAGCTCAAAGGTCCCTCTGGGCATAACAAAAGCCCAACACAGCTATAGATACATGCTCCATTCATTGACTGTTTGGGCGGGTCAACTTTCATCCCCATGGTAACTACTGTATCAGGTGGCATATTAGATGCTGGCCTGCACTAAGAAACCATCTGCAGCTGTATGCAGAGTCAGGTGTGACTTACGATCTCAGGTGTTTACAAGCTAAGGTTCGTATGATTTCAAAGGGACTCCTTTTGTGGCGACGCTTGAGGGTGAAACTAGGCAAAGCCGGTCATGCCTCATGAGTAACAGTTAAAGTTTAAAAGAAGTTCACGACAAACTTCATGATACAACTTACGTTTTATTACATTTTATAAAATGATAAAAACACTACGGTAAGCACAAATAAGTCTGTGGGCTGTTGTTTTATATTCACTGACTTGATATTTGCTGTTCACCTCATGTTCATAGTTACCAGCGTTTGGCAAGTTGACTTTGTATCAAATGGTTTGCAAACATGAAGCGTAAAAGAGCTGGTCATGGTTGATACCTCAAAGCATATTTAACATTCATTAGTCCTGGTCTTACCTGTGTGCTGTAAGAACAGATTGGGCCGATGGGCCTCAGTCATACACAGTCGACCACGGCCTCGGTCCAAATCTTCCCAAACCATGGTTGGGAGTTGGTCAATGAGGTTACCTACTAGTCTTTAAAAAGTTAAAGTTAGTAAAACAAGTGTATCACATTTGCATTACAAAATTCACAACCAATCTACAAAAGTTGAATCAGATCAAGTTAGGAGTAACCTTAAACATGTTGTTAATTAGTGAAACATGTAATCCATTTTTTTCCATTTTCTATTGAAACTTGAGTTTTTTTCATTCTTTGCTTACAAGTTAAGGAGAACATAGAGCCATGAGTTCATGATATTATATAAGAAAGAGGCATGATGAAAGTATGGATAAATTCAATACACAATTTAGCAATATGAAATTGAAGACTGCAACAGAGATATATAGTACATGTATTTCAACTTGAAGTGTAACACAGTAGCTCTCACAGAAACCCACCTCTGGTGAAATATCCACCACTGTTTGGTTAGTAGTCACAAAACTGTTTTTAGTGGCTATGGTGCTTGACAAAGTAGAAAAGAACCCCCTTCTATATTGAAATGGCCTCTTTGTTGTTCTTTCCTAGCCAGGTAAAAGTAAACAAACATGGCATGGCTGTTAAAAGATTGCGTTGTCATTGACGCCAGGGTGTGAATGCCACAAAAAGCTGTAAATTCTTAAAACTTCTCTGCCTTATCGGTTCATCTCTTGAGTTTACTTTAAGGCAAGCTTGACTCTGAGCACAAAGGATTTTTGCTTACCCAAAGCTTAAGAAGAGAAACCATTCTGAACTTTGGGGTTAGCTATGTTTACGTGGTGATATGTATCTTTACATTTGTCAGGTATTTGGAATGTAAAAAAGTGGACCACCCGGGCCCAAATTCTGATACTGAGTGCAACCTGTTATTTCAAATGGCAATGTTGTTCTGTAAACAGAGGTAACACATTAATACAACATCAAGTGGATGGACCAATTTTGAAAAGAAAGTGGAAAAGCAGCAATTTTCTATACTGAGAGACTAAAAAGAGCAGATTTCAGAGTAGGAAACTCTAGTAGGAAAGTAGGTAAATCTATAAAACTGTTTTGAAAACAGATTGAACAGCCCTTACTACCACGTGTATACTTTTGACACAATACAAAGTTTTGTCAACTGGCCTAACACATAACAAGTCACAATAAATTCTTGATGTCAACCCTGACGTTCAGCACCCCGAGACGGTGAGATGTCGTGTGCGGAAACAAGTGGGGAGCACGAACCGGTGGCGTCTGCCGCAGAGTCTGGGGAGTGACTTACTGGGCACGTCGCAAGCCGTGAAAGCCATCAAGGTGCCCGCCTGGAGCGACAGTGTACGCAGCATTGTCACTGGTGAGGGAAAACTCCACTTTTTATACGTCAGTCTCAAAACTTAGTAAGATTTCTTTAGCATAACAATATGTGCTAATAAGATATGATATCAATGTATCAATACCTCCTTTAGGGTTGATATAATGCAACTGATGAAGAAAATTTTTATACTGGAATTTTTGGATAAAGCTGAAGGACATCCTGCAGTACCATGACATGTTGCTAGGTGGCGTAACTGTGCTGCCATTTACACATCAAGACATTGATTAGCATTGTTGACAAGAATTGCCTTCCTATACAGGAGAGAGTGCGTGCACGTCAGTAAACCGCGACCCCGAGAAAGTGTACAAATTCCATACGGTGGAGAGTCGGCCATTCTCGTCGCCACGGTTACTGATGAAAGCTGCCATGAGCCGCAGCTCCTCCCCGTCCATCCCATCCCCGCCCAGGACAGCTCCCGCTCAGCTGGGCAGGTCAGAAACTCCTAAACTCAGTCCTTAGTTTGATTTTTTTCTAGTCAGAGAGAGAAGGCAGAACCTTGAAGATACATATTACTACTGATAAGCATCTTTATACACTACATTTTGATTCTCCTTTGGACAATGGAAATGGACAGACAATGTCCATTTCTTAATAATGTTGAAAGAGGTAATGAACACATTCTGGTTGACAAATCATTTTGCATCATTAACAAGTTTGCCACATACTTGTGTTTGGTTACTTCTGGGTACAAACATGATTGGTACATTATGGTGTTTGTTGCTGTCCTTGGTGCTGAACTGTAGTCCGTCCGAATGCATACAAACATTTGATTTGTTACTTCTGGGTATGGAAGTATTGTTTTGGGTGGCTGAGCTGTATGTTTGCATGTCTATTTGTCCAGACAAAGTAGGTTGACAGCACATGGGTGGGAGAAGATTGATGGGCAGAATGAAAGGTCAAAAAGTCAGATGCTGGAAATGGGGTGAACTTGAAGGGCACGAAAACCCAAAATACTTCCCAGAAATCTGAAATCTCTTATTTCTTGTCTGATTGCTGACGTGTTTATATTCCAGCCCTCGCCTTGCCATCCACAAACCGCTGACGCCCCACCACCCGACCCCAGCACAAGTCTTCCACTACCACTCCAAACATATCTTTGATGTGGCAGGGCCAGGTTTGTCAGCAACACTTTCCTTCAGTGTTCAGCATTTGTAAAATAGTATTTCAACTATAATATTTATTGAATTTTGTTAACAGAAAGCTTTCATCCTTTGAGTTCTTTAGTTCAAACCATAAGAATGAGCATGGCAGCTGGCAGCTGGCTGGTTATCTTATACATGTATTTATCTTGAAATGTTTGCATTGGTTTTATGTTTGCTGTTATTGAGAAAACTCCAATGTATTGCTACTGTACTAAAAACTGTTTCAACAACAAACTGCAAACACAGCAAAAGCCTCCTTTCCTCTTCCACCACAAAATGAAGTCTCTTTGACAATGACCAAATTTCTAGTACCAGTAGTAATGTGCAGTATATGTGTCTGGTGTCAGATGTGGTTCACCACTGCCTGGGAACCAGCTGGGAGCTCCACAAGCCATTCCTGCAGAAGTCCAAGGTGCTGTCCGAGCTGCTGTACAAGGCTGAAAACCCCAAACAGCAGCACTTCTACAGGGACAGGACAGCAGAGACACTGGACAAGTACATCAGGGACAGCGACATCTACAGTAATGAATACCAGGTCAGCACAGAGACAGCTTTCTATCTTCTTCCCTTGATAGTAAGTGTGACTATTAGTGTGCGAGCAACTTCAGAAAAGAACACAAATAATAGTAAAAATCAAATATACCTCATATCAAACTATCTACAATATTTGTGATTAATAGGAAATCAGCCAGAGACTGAACACTGTGACGATATCTGATGGACCCAGGAAAGGCCTTAGGGACCCTGCCCACACTTCTGTCCAGCGAACCAGGAATGTCACCGCCATAAAACTCAAAATTAAAGATGCCAACGTCACAAAGGAAGGTAAGACCTGAGGTGGTATTCTTTTCTGGTGGGGTGTCTAACCTACATAGACATATTCGAATTCAGTATTCCACTAGTATGTTACATGACAATAACAATTCATGCCACATGTATTTTGTTTAATAAGGGTTAATGTACTGTTACCCTTTCTTCCTAGCACTGGCCATTGCCCTTGGCAACCTTTACCATGACGACGCTCGTGTGGATGAGGAAGATGTGGCAGGTGTCATGGCAGCCGCCTCTCACATGCAGTGTCCTGGGCTGCTGAACGGGTCAGTATCAGTATACATGTGCACATCAGAGGAGAAAATAAAAACTTTCTGCTTTTTCAAAATTGTCCGTAATAGAATCATTAACTTCACAAGCTGAATAACGCAGAAGAAGCCAATTTTAATGATTAGATTTGTGTTGGTGGACATCATAGGTTACATATGGTGTACATGTGCTGTCCTTGGTGCTGAACTGTCGTCTTCAACAGATTTCATACAGAAAAACATTTTGATGAATGATGTGCTTGTGATCAAAGTTGGCTGATTTGCAAGGTTATCAAAACTGTTCCTACCCTCAGGCTGTTATAGTGTTTCCTCACTAAAATTGGTCATAATCATTTTTCTAGGTGCTCCCAAATCATGATTGACACCGTGAAAGCCAGCAACGTCTGTACTTACATGAAGGCAGCCATACAGGTAACACAGTCAACAGTGATCCTAACTTTCCTTGGACTTTCAACCCTATACCTTAGTTATCAAAAATTTCTTGCACTTTTTTCTGTACCTTTGTAATTGCATACTTCTGGAAAGTCTCTGATTTCTTGTTGAGAATGTTGGTCTTCCCTGTGTTTGTCCCAGTACGAACAGTCGTCAGTGATCACCACCTGCGAGCGTTGGCTGGAGCTGAACCTGGTCCCACAGCTGTCCCTACAGATCCACCTGCGAGAGCTGCCCATGGAGGTCATGACCAAACTCCTCAAGTCCACACGGTGAGTGACCTTAACCTTGAACCTTGGACCATGACCTTGGAGGGAGCTGTTCTCATTTGTAAAAGTATGAAGCATTGGCATACCGTAGTACTTACTGATCTTAAAGTCATGTAGCTGATGACTGCCAAATTAACAAAAATGCCCCTGCAATTTTAGAATTAACAGCTAGGGGGCCTAAACAGATAACCAGGATGATTCAGTAAATTTTGGACCCTTTCTCTCTGTATTTATTTGATGTTTATTTCAACCATTTCCTTGTTGTCTCATCTTGTGACCAACACAACATTGGTACCAAAAGGATGCAAAATCATTGTTTTAAGCATTGTGCTCCTATTTCCCCACAGGCTGTTTACGTATGACGAGTACTCCCTGTACAAGGCCCTGTGTAACTGGATCTTCCTGAGGAGACATCCTGAGCTGCAGCTCATGCCCTCCCACTCCAGCATCATCACATACTTCAACAGGTTTGCAAAATTGCCAACTACTCATGCAGCAGTTAACACACCTGCAGTATGGTTTTGTGGACAAAGCAGTTTAAATGTGTGGATACATGAAGAATCATTTTCTGCACTTCAAGGTGAACACTTTAGAGCCTGCAAGCATTAAGTTTTATACACTGCATAAGCAATCCAAATTCGGTACAAACACAAAGTGATGAACAACCACCAGGGTTAATACTGGCACTTATCATATTGCAAAATCATGTAACAATTTCTTTTCTCCCCAGTCTCCCGAAGCACAGCGCGTTTCTGGAGCGTGAGGAAGGGCAGGTGTACAGTGGACTGTTTCTGTCACTGAAGCTCCACGGCATCACAGACAGTATGTTCTTATAACTTTTTTTAATGTGTAGTTGGGTACACAATAGTGCAAGGGAATCTTGAGATAAAATCTATGTAGCACAATCCTTTTGCAATTACAGTATTTCCAAAAGAAAACAACAAACCAGAGAGTTCATACTTCCAGGTTTTTGTGAATGTATGTACTAGACTGCGGAGGGGATTGCATGATGTAATCTAATCAGGTATTACGGCACTTCCTGAATTCCTCCATATAATGCCCAGTTACTCCCATCCAGCACATGCTGGATGGGAGTCACCTTCCAATCGGCTGTCAAAATCACCTCCCACTCACCATACAACCAAAGTTATTAGGACAAACAGCAATACAAACCCACATCTCAGCCACCCATAAACCAAGGAGCTTTCAACAGCAATTCTATACCCGGAAGTAAATACAATGTATAGAGTTTGAAATAATGCAAGCTAACCTAATAGTATGTTTGTGCCCCCTTCTCCAGCATCACATCTGGATGACATCCAACAGATGAACATCCTGCCGTACCAGTGGCTTCTCCGGGTCCTCACACAACATTATCACTCAGTAAGTCACAGTTCTATACAGCTTCTATAATGTGGGTAACTGTTCCTTTCAATAGACCAATCCTGACTGTCCATCCCAATTATCTGTTCAACCAATGATAGCATGGCAATTAGATGTTCGACCAATGAGAGTGTGTTTGAGTGTGTTGAACTCACCAGTACTCCTGCTGTTCCACTAGCTTCAGGCAGGGGGCGATATGAGACTGCTGCAGTACAACTTCTACAGTGGTTCTGTCAGGGCTGGCTTCATCATGGAGCAGGTCAGGTTTTGCTTTGAAAAAGTTTGGATCCTTTTTGAAACTTCACTAGTTGGTCAAAGTTAAGTGTGCAAATCAGTTCAATTTCTTACTTTATCAAGATTGATCCATTGGAATCAATGTAAAATATATTCAAGTTGTGATTCACCTCAGTCTTATTCTGAACAATATTCAGGTTTAAAACATTTTAGGTAGATTACTGTACTGTATTACTAGTATTTTGAATGTTTGTGTTTTAAACTCGTGTATACAGAAGATGCAAGAAATTGTTTCCATTTGTCATGGATGGTTCCCTCATGTGGCTGTTGTAGGACCTGCCCTTCTACTGTGAAGTGATGTCCATCCACGGTTTCCACTTTGAGCTGAAGGCAGTCAGGCTGGATGCGGAGGGGACATACACCTTCTACATACAGGTGACAGCAATACTAGAGTACTTACTTTATAATGTCTATAACTACTAGTATAAAACATTCTTGTATGAACCTTCAATAACATTATCTTAGATTATGGATTCCGAAGTTCATCTGTGTTAGTTTGAGATTTTTGAGAGCTGGCTACTACGTACATGTATTACGCTGAATTCAGAAAACCTCTTGATTATGCTTTAGGCCATGTTGATTTGATTATATGGATGACATCCTCCGGGAGCCCCAAAACTGATGCGCGCGTGCGAATAAAAAAAAAGTTTTGCAAAAAAAAAAGTTCTTTTCATTATGAAATCTACGTGGTCATGAGGGTTGAGCAAATGGCACAGAATATGGTTTGGCGAATAATCTAGTCTTCAAGTTCATTTCTTTACAATTTCGTCTTTTTTCGTTTGATTTTGGCATTCTACGACATTGGTATAGTTTTTGTTAATTTTTTTTGTAACTTATAGTATATATTTGCTCATATTGCAACTGTTTTGTACGATTTACAGTATGATTGGAAACTTTTTTTTTTTGGAAACAGCCGAAAATTCATGCGCGCGCGGATGTCATCCATATAATCAAATCAACATGGCCTTACAATAAATTCCAAGTGGCTACAACGCATTATGTAGAATTAAAACGTCTGTGCCTGCATGAGTTGTTACATGAAGCTGTCCCTTGTGTCCTACAGAGACTGAAGCCGAGTGACCCTGTGCTGTCGTTCCGTGCCTGCGAGCGCCACACCTTCTCCCTGCGGCAGGACCGAGACGTACGCTACGACATCAAGGTGCAGTGCTTCCTGGATGGGCAGTACCAATGCTGGTCGACGGGGGTGCAGGCACATGGCTTCGGGCTGGATGGGAAAACTTCGCGGAGCAAAGTAAGTCATTTCTGGACCATGATGAGGGCAGTGAAAGTGATCTTGAACCAAGCCTTACCAAGGACATTATACAGCTTCTTGCTCAAACGAACTTGATGAATACTAGTAGTTGAGCTACTTTTCCACTGGTTGTGACAAACACCTATTAAATATTTTACAGGTTCATTGTTCTAGGGGAATTACACTTGCTCTTTTTTGGCGAATACAAAATGTTCAATGAACAGTGGACCACGGCTTAATGTCCTGTCCTACACGTAGTAAAGGACTGTAACCCTTCCCAGTAGTGAGCATGTTGCATGAGCAACAACAGCTGGGTTTCAAACTTATGACTTTTTTGGTTCAGAGGCATGGTCACTTTGTACACTAAACGAAGGAGGAATAGGACTTAGCTTTATAGCAATTACAAGATATATCTATATGAACTCTCATGGAAGCCATTACAGTTCAATGTACTATCATCTATAAACATCCAAATATTCTAAAGGAGATTGTTCTGTTGTTTGTTCCCTGCAGCCCTTTACTCTGTCCAACCTGAGGTGCCCAGTGTACGCCACCTTCCACATGGTCTTCCCTCCTACATAGGACCTGCCAGCAACATGGACCTGACATGTCTGTCATCTGTCTATCATCACACCTCTTCTACACATGTTGCTTTCTTCAAGGAATCTATAGAATGTGTTGCTTGAGAAAAACATGTTTTGGCCATAGATTACTAAATACTCATATGTATAGGGGACCATATATCAGTTTGTATTTCATCTGACTGCACTCTTCAAAAGAAAATCTGAGAATTCTAAATAAAAGAATTGCTTTCAGATAGCATGAGGACTTTTTACAGTTAAAAAAAGCAACATTTTAAAATTACTGTATATTGTGGAAATGGGTTTACTGGTCTTGCTTTTTCTTTTACATGTATATAGCTGTGCAGGCATGTGCATTGTCTGCATACTAGTATTTGTTGCATGTGAGTAAGAAAAAGAAAAATGTGCAATAGTTGTACTTATACAGTAACTGTAGTATTTATACTCTTGTGCCAGGACTATACAAGCAGGTTACTCTTTGCTTCTGAACAAAATATGCCTGAACAGTAGGAGACAAGACACGTAACATGTAAGATATTGGGTAAAATAGCAAATTTTGTAGGTATAGTGCCTCAAATGCTTTTATAAATGTTTGTACATTTGATCAAGGACTTGATTTGATGTATAGTTTGGACTGGAGAAACAACTTTCTAATATAGATGCAAATGTGACATTTCTCAACACTGATGATTGCCAAACAGTGATATTTGCAGTCTTTCTACCAAATAGCACATATCCTCCCATATACATCTACAGAGATACGGAATAGTATTTTTTTACCACTGAATGTCATTGTGATATTGCAAAGTGTGTTGCTATTGTTCTATTGTAAAAATGTTTCACCGCGATTCTTGTCACAGTAGACTGCCAGTATGGTAAGAGACAGTGAAACTATGTACAGATCTTGTGTGTGTTAACAATACTTTTTGACTTGTTCCTTTTGCTCAGTGTGACTGCTTGAGTTTTGCTGTAAGCTCTGATGACAATAACGTTATGTCCTTGAGTAATATAACGTTAATAATGATAATGATAGCAATATGCCATTAAATCTACAGCAGTCACACCAATACTTGTACGCATACAAAAATAAACATTCGGCTTTAGAAATAGAAAAATAAAAGCAGTCCCACCAATATTAATACATGTTCGCATACAAAAATAAACATTCACTTTAGAAATAGACATATCACTTTCACTGCTTGTCACGTAACACGCATCATAATGTGCAACGAACGGTGTACGAGTTGAGTGTTGCAGTACTTCAGTCGGCCGTAGGATGACTCTGCTAAACGAAGGACGTCCTTGGTTGAACAAATGTCCTTGGTTGAACAAATGTCCTTGGTTGAACCGAGCGGATGGTCTATTTTGACCCGGGATAGCGGACTATGAATGTGCTGCCGATTAGTTCCTTGATCATTACATCCTCTTCAAGTAGAGGTTTTCTGACCTATTTTCTTAGCTTTTTATACGCTTTGTCCGGCTTTCTATTGTCGTCGGCTTTTCTGAAAATGTTACAGGCAAAAAGTCAGAAAGCATGCAGACCTAACCTCTGCTATGACGTCGACAGTGCCTCTATATACTAGTACTAGTAATATGAATTTAAAGCTCCTTGCTCGATCCAAGGACTTCATAAGTCTTGTCAGTCCTACTGGCGCCCAAACCAAAACAAACGTCATTGTCATTTGGACTCCCTGGCCAGAACCAATCGGGAGCAGTGTTGTCGGACAATGTCGTCATTACGACGTATTGTTTTATTTACGATGTATTGTTTGACCGTGAAGACCCGGAGTTTCGGGGACTTTTTGAGCAGTGAGATGTCTCCGTTACCACAGAACATGTCGCTAGCCCCGCTGGCGCCTGAAGCAAAACAACGTCATTGTCATTCATGACTCCCACAGAGATCCATCGGCCATTGACACAGACAGTTAACTCCTCTGAACATCCTCTGAAGAATGACATATAGGATATACATGTGCTACATTTTGTATATCAAATGGCTTGATTTAATCTTGTCTTACGTAATGTTCTACCTGGATGTCCTTCGTCGACGATTTGTCAATAGTCCATCTGTTTCACATGATAAACAGTATGGAAGTGACCAATGTTTTACTCTACTTTAATACATGACGCTATGAAATGAAACAGATACATGTACTACTACATGTAGATCTACTAGGCATCTCTATCTCTTTAAGTTACTAGTATACGGAGGGCGTCCGTCATAGTTACTTTGACACATGTACTACAGTAGTATCCGTGTCTTTCTTGCATTTTCCCTTCGTGTATGAGTCTCAAATAATAGCACATAATGTCACGTCCTTCGTCTAATTGGTCATTCGACAAGTGCAAGACTGCTGTCGCCAGTGGACAAATATCACCTCCAGGTAAAAAGAGCCAACAATTGTCTCTAATTGGGAAATCCTCCCGTTCTTCACACCTTGTTCACCATTGTTGTCCCATTGGAGTTGGTGAGAAGTCGGTAAACAGAGTTGTTGGACTTCTCTATTGTGTAGCGGGCAGCGATCTGTTTGTGTGGCGGGCGGGAGAGTGTTGGTTTTAGACGGAAATACTCGTCTTGGAGTGTTTGTAGAGTTGGAAATAAACCGGTGTGTTGTGTGATTAGATGTTGTAAACTTGTAGAAAACTTGCTTAGGAGTGTTTAGTCTGCACCAAGGACATTGCTCTGAAAAGAATTGCTAGTGTTAGCCTGTAACTTGTAGAGTTTCTATTTCAAAATAAAACCATTTTTCGCAAACGATGTATTGTCTTCCCTTTGTACTCCAGTCGCATTTAAAAAGTTTTAGCCCAGGCGTGAAAAACACGAGTCTGTGGCATATAAAGATTTCCTCTGGGGCATGTCAGCCCTGAAGTCATGTAGCTGGCTTATGCAGGTCATTCGAAACAGTCTGCCATCCATGCTAGAGAGATACCCAGATATCTTGTTTCAATCACGCTGATCCTGGGAACGATATAACGACCTGTAATAATTGTATTTTCTATCGATTTCCTGTGAAACGCGGTGAACTGTTACCAGTGTTGGGATCTCTGTGGGAGTCATGAATGACAATGACTTTGTTTTGCTTCAGGCGCCAGCGGGGCTAGCGAGGTCTGGGCTTTGATGACGTATGGAATAATAGACGTCTTCATGCGTCAACTACATTGACCGTGAGAATCACGCATCGAAAAAATCAGAGAAATCCCTCGACCATTGCGTTCCAACTTATTTCCCAGTACTACTACTAGCAATGTCTTTGGGACACCTATCGAGAAATGTAAGAACTGCAGATATGTACAAACAGTGTCTGTCCAAGGTACTGACTGAATATTCCGTTGCGGTATATTTTCCGCGTATAACAATTGTAAGATACCTTTCATGTTATATTTCTTCTCAGTGGTCAGTGAATCAACCTCCTTGTTTCCACCCTGACATATGTTGTACGTGCACTAATTAGCGCTGTTTACATGTCAATAGTCAACAAAGCGCAAGTGCAAGACTGCTGTCGCCAGTGGACAAATATCACCTCCAGGTAAAAAGAGCCAACAATTGTCTCTAATTGGGAAATCCTCCCGTTCTTCACACCTTGTTCACCATTGTTGTCCCATTGGAGGTGGTGAGAAGTCGGTAAACAGAGTTGTTGGACTTCTCTATTGTGTAGCGGGCAGCGATCTGTTTGTGTGGCGGGCGGGAGAGTGTTGGTTTTAGACGGAAATACTCGTCTTGGAGTGTTTGTAGGGTCGGAAATAAACCGGTGGGGTGCTTGATAGTAGTGGATGCTACTTGAAAAGTCGAACACTTTTCAAAGCCTATCCAGTTGCTTGAGTAACCTGGATGTCTAACCTTCATCAACGTACAATGAGGTTCAATTGTACACAAACAGAGTAGATTTGGTGGGGGCCGGAAACGTGTCGCTTTATTAAAAAAGGAAAATCTTTATTCTTATTGCTTGTATATCCGTTCATAAGTTTGAAGGACAAAATTACAATCACTCCTGTGCAAACTGGGGATTCCTTTGGTTGAAAAATTGAAAAGACTTCATGCGAACAAGGACATTTTACAAGATGTAAAGTATGAGCAAACAGGTATCACTCGCACCTTGTTTGAACGTGCTAAGCCGTAATGATTGTATTGTTTCTGCCGATGTCGTGTGAAATGTGCTGAGGCTAGGTGGGGGTCATGAATGACAATGACTTTGTTTTTGTTCAGGCGCCAGCACCGCGTTTTCTCACGGCGCGTTCACGTTCGCCGTATCATTTGTATGTCGTTACCGTACGATCTGACAGAACAAACCGCCGACAAGGATCTGAGATACTAGTAGCCATTTCCGCGATCCGTAACAAGACTAGCCTCTAGGCTTCGGGAGGCGGTTGTAAAGAGTAGAAATTGGCCAAACAGAGAGATAACATGCCAATGGAGTTGGTCTGCGGGAGCGGCAAACTGTTCTCTCCAGCAGACCAACTCCCTTGCCATGCTATCTCTCTATTTGGCCAATTTCTACTCTTTACAACCGCCTCCCGAAGCCTAGTAGAGGCCAACAATACAGCTATATTTTGTACTACACATGCCCGACTACACAAAACTGCCATTAATTTGCGATCTCACAACGAATGACACAACCGTTACGCACATGCGCTTGGTTTACCCAAGGAAGTTAAAATCGCCCAGTTCACTCAAATCATGAACATCTCTGGTCCCGATATAACGTTATAATTGATTACAAACCCACATAATTGTCATCGGATAGATCTATACTCGTAACACATTTTTCATATCACTGTTAACTGCTGTACCGCCATGCATCTGTACATCACTTACTTTGTACATGTAAGAGCGTAGATCTACAATGAAGATCATTACAAGGCTACAATGGCTGTATTGTTTCTTCAGGTCCGTGTGAAAGGAACTGACTAGATACCAGTGTTCTGATCTCTGTGGGAGTCATGAATGACAATGACCTTGTTTTGCTTCAGGCGCCAGCGGGGCTAGCGACGTCTGCCCTCTGATGACGCTGGGTGTCTTTTTCAGCTCTTTCGACCCCAATCACAACACCTCCACCGGAGAAGCTGCGAGTTTTTCACGCTAAAACAATACGTCATAATGATGACATTGTCCGGCAACACTGTTCCCGATCGGTTCTGACCAGGGAGTCCACATGACAATGACATTTGTTTTGGTTTGGGCGCCGGCGGGGCTGGCATGTCTACCGTCTGATCAGCGAGCAGTCATCATTTCTAAAAGAACTAATATTGATAGTTGAAAGATTCTCTCTTTAACCATGGTGGTGGTAGAAAAACTCTGACCATACTTTTTAACAATCGAATATATAATTTCTGCATCTTTATTTAGCATCGGTCCCGGACACATACGCCGTCCTGGGGCTATCTTGGGATAGCCGTGCATGTATCAAACAAAATTCAGCTGTCATTGTCATTGTCGAAAATGCAGTCTTTTCTGAATGCCCTTGGTTCTGTCACAGCCTTCCTGAAAATGCATCAACGTCGAAATCGTAGAAAGACCTACTAATCTAGTGAATAACCCTCGGTGCTGCGCATGTTTCAAACTTGAAGAAGGCAAAATTATAAAGAAGTTATTTCAAATGTCATAAAACGCGCGTTGACTCGTGTGTTTTCCTCTTCTTTCCCACGAGTTGACATGGTAATGTTAATGATGGCAGTACTTCACACCAGAGTGCATGTACCACGCGGCTTTCTCCAGAGATTTGCTGGATTTTCTGCCCTCTGCCATCGCCCAGGAGGCCTTTGATCGCTCCCTGCGCTGCCTCGTGCTTACACAGACGAGCTAATCTCCCACGCTGTTGTCAATTGACATAATACATAATCCCAATTAGTCCCTGACTGAAGGACCTCCAAGTGTGGTCAGAGACCATCTCGAGTGCTGGTACAGCGAGATCAAATCAGGGAAATCTTTACAAAATCCTCACTTCTCACGTCCGTCAAGAGGTTTACGGTCATCTCTGACACGGCTGGTAACATCTGTTGATTAATTTAATCTTTAAACCCCGTTAGCTTCCCGGCATCGAATTCACTCGATTCTTTTTTTTTACCTACTGGCCAGGTTTTCTTGGTATGAAATGATTTCTAAATTATTTGAAAAGAAACGCGTTAACTTACATACAAGGACGTTAACTAATAAGCATGGACGTTAACTAATAAGCATGACGTCATTTTTGGGTTGCGTGGATCTAAGACATTGTAAGTATAACGTCTTTGTCGAGGCTTGAGCCGTAACAAGTCTTCACTTGCCCTGGATCTGTGAACTAGTTACATTGTTCTAGTACTAGTAGTTGTTCTTGTCTATCATGAAAACAAAAGGATCCAAACTACCCACAAGAAGACTCATCAATGTCCCTGTCAATCAGTTCTCCTGGCGTCCTAATTGTGAAATTCACATAGTCGAACAATATGCTATAATTACACCCATTGTTTATCGACGCTTGTCAGTAAATTGTTCTGCGGTTCACACCGCCAGGTGACAATGGTTGTGTTGTTCTTGTGGCGCCGGCGGGGCTAGCGACATCGGACTTTGTCGTTTCAATTATATACAAGTACATTGTACAAAGACTTATTTATGAAGGTTCTCCGGAGGCTAATTACAAGTAGCATAAACTGACGTAAAGAGTTCTGGAGGCAGAAAATATACTCCTTTATAGGCTTACCGTACCAACTCCTCTGGCATGTATAATATCTGTCTATAGCCTCTACCGGGCTTCACGAAACGGCTAGAAAGAGTAGAAATCGGTCAAATTGAGAGATAACATGCCGAGGGAGTTGGTCCCCTAGAGACTACATTCGGGTGCGGCAAAATGTACTAGTACTCTCTAACGGACCAAATGCCTCTCTATTTGACCGATTCCTACCCTTTTCAGCCGTCTCCCGAAGCCTGGTAGAAGCTAGAGGCTATACAGAGTCTACAGGCAATGAAATATTATGTGACTCCGAATATAAATGCTGACTCTATCTTGTTCTATCAATTTTATGAAGGTGTGCGATCTCGCTACCGTTTGACCTTCTAAATGTTCTTCAAAAGTTCCTTTATAGAGATTAACAAGTTATCTCCAAACACCGGGTATACTACCTAAAGAAAGGCTGAAAAAAGTAGAAAAGCTGACAAAAGTATTAAAACGCATTAAAAAAACGCCAAAACAAGTCTCTCCTCTGTTCTGAGAGTACTTTTTAACAAGGAACGAAGGACAAGCGAGATATTAAAGAACAGATAAATGAAAGCTATCCCAAGATACATCGCACGATCGTACGACGTATGTGCCCGGGACCGCTGCCAAATAAAAATGCAGAAATTGATTTTCGATCGTCAAAAGGACTGGTCAGAAATCTGAGCCAGTACAGGTTATAGAGAGAATCTTTTAAAGTTTTTGTTAGACATCAGACGGTAGACATGCCAGCCCCGCCGGCGCCCAAACCAAAACAAATGTCATTGTCATGTGGACTCCCTGGTCAGAACCGATCGGGAACAGTGTTGTCGGACAATGTCGCCATTATGACGTATTATTGTTTTACTGTGACCTTCGAATGAACCACCAAATGTGTTACGCCTATGGTTTCCTGAAGTATGGATGGATATCTTTTTTTAAAAACCAATTCCCTTTGTTGTGGTACACATTCGTCGTAGAACGTCGTGCGATTTTGATGTTGTAGATTTTCAAGCAGGCTATGACAGAAGCAAGAAGGGCCATATAACATCACTCACACAACCAACCGCCGACGTAAAGAAAGACTTTTCCGTAACAAGATCTAACCAAGGAGCTTTCATCAGATGAAAAAGTTCCTTGATCTGACGAAAGATGCACCATTGCCCCAGAAATACCCTCAACTTGCGATCGGACGACGGGTAGGACCAAATATAATCTATCGAATGAAAGTTTGCAGTTTACAGAGGGCGATGAACTGGAACAAAATCTACCTTTGCAAATGTCATCTAATATACTAGTAATATATTCTAAACCGAGTCATAAACTAATTCTATAAAGTTTACAAATTTGTCTCCTTGCTTGACCCCCTGTGGATGAGGAAATCGGTCTATTCAATGACAAGTGATGGATCTGCCGACCACTGGCGCCAGCAGACTGGCACCTCGCCCCCGTACCCCTGGCCGTGACCCGCCCACAG